TTTTTTTTCCACCCTCCTGGTAATGGATATTTGGGTTGTTTCCAGTTTGAGGTGATGATAAATAAGCTGTTCTGAACATTCTTATACATGTCTTTTGGTGAACACATGCTTCATTTCTCATAGGTAAACACTAGGAGTAGACTTGCTGAGTCATAAGGTAGTTGCAGGGCTTAACTTGACAAGAAATTGTGAGCCTTTTTTCTCTTTCACATGAACACTTCTACTTTCTCCAGTTTCTTCCACTGCTGCCTACATGCCGGCCTCCCACCCCAGGTTCATTCTAAAGAAGAAAATATAGTTTAAGATTTTCTGTTTCTTGTGTTTCTCTCTGCTCTGGCAGGTAACCCTGGTTGTCATTGGTAGAAGCAGTTTTAACCATTCAATTTCAACCACTGAAAATAAAAAAGAGGGCCCAAAGGAAGAGTTAGCTGCCCAAACCAGGTCTCCAGAGGCTCGGTCAATAACATCTGCTCCACGTCACAAGGGCATCAATTCCTGGACTAGTCTCTATGCTCAGGCCACTGGAAACATTTATTTTCATAATACCATTTGGTTTGAGCACTAAAATTGCCGCTAAAAGGGAAGGTGTTATGCAAATTAATATTATAATCAACCACTTGTTACTAAGGTAATCTTAACTCTTTCCCTTTGCTTCTGTTTTGGAGATTTGGGGTTCCCCAAATCCTCTTGGGTGCCATTCAGTGGCAGACGCCGGCATTAGGGGGAAGAAAGCTGCTGTTCCCACTAAACAGCTCCAGTTTGGGCATGATCAGCTGCCATGCTCTTCACAGGATGAAGATTCATTCCTTTGATAATTGGAAAACAAGGAAACAAAAGGCACTGCTTGAAAATGATTTACCACAGAACACATTTTGCTTTAGTCAAACCTTTTTTTTTTTTTCCTAAGGAAAAAGTGTGTGGGCTTATCTCTTGAAAATGCCAGCATGGTTGTGAACACTGGGGAAATTAAAAGACTGAATAGAATGGATTTCTTAGGAAAAATCAGTATGAGTATGCAGAGAGTTGCAAGGCTTATTTATTAAGTTGTGTGCTATGGGAGGATTATCTGCCTCAGACTTATCTATTACTTTGTGGCAGTGGTTTTAAATATAGAGGGTTTTTTTTCCATTGCACAAAGCCAAATTCAAATGGACTCTAAAATTCAGTAACCTTGGCAGCTTTGGCTATGACATAGGGATCAGAAAATCTGAGATACAAATACTTTCTCTACCACCATCCCTTGCCCAGAAAAACGAAAGGCTTTGAAGAACATTCTGTTTCCTTTTGACATAGCATCCAATTATTCCCTCTGAGAAACAGAGGTCAGTGGAACATCGATGAAGGTGTCTAGAGTAATGAATGCTGCTTAATGACTCTGGTAGTCAGTATACCCCCATTTACCAGTGTGGCCAAACCACTGAGGCCAAAAAAGAACTAAAGGTAGAGATGTCTTTGTCATGGGAGGAAGAGATTCAAAATCTGGAATCACAAGTTACAGAATTATGACTATTGGTACAGCTTCCAGCCCAGTTCAAAGGTAAGAGTGGTCTCATTCATTTAATGGGATACTTATGGCTTGGTACCTTGAAGTTACATGCTGCCAGTTAATAATTAATAATGCAGGGGCTCCTGGGTGGCTCAGTCGTTAAGCGACTGCCTTCAGCTCAGGTCATGATCCTAGAGTCCCGGGATCAAGTCCCACATCGGGCTCCCTGCTCAGAGGGGAGTCTGCTTCTCCCTCTGACCCTCCCCCCTCTCATGTGCTCTCTCTATCTCATTCTCTCTCTCAAATAAATAAATAAAATCTTTAAAAATAAATAAATAAATAAAAGTAAGTAATAATGCATTATCATACTTTTTGTTTTTAAATTGAAAAATGCTCTGTAGTTACTAGTCAATCCTCAGAATATTCCTCAGAGGCTGAGTCAATTTATTATTTCTATTTTATTTGAGAAGAAGAAGATGATCAGGTACAAAAAAAGTCACACAGAATAAAGACAAATATTGGTCCTCAAGAATGCCTTCTCCCAATCCTAACCAAATTTATTACTTTTAACCAAAAATATGAGTCTCTACAGAGTTTGTGAAATGCCCTGTGATAGCCCTTCACTATGACACTACCAAATGAGTGTTCATTCTGAACCAAGAAAAGGATATGGAATATTAAAAATAATATTGGTTTTCCTCACATTTGTATGGAACCACAAAAGACCCCAAAGAGCCAAAGCAATCCTGAGGAAAAAGAATAAAACTAGAAGTACAGCATTTCCTGATTTCAAACTATACTACAAAGCTACAGTGATAAAAACAGTATGGTACTGGGATGTCTGGGTGGCTCAGTTGGTTGAGTGTCTTCTCAGGTCATGATTCCAGGGTCCTGGAATCGAGTCTCACATTGGGCTCCTTGCTCAGTGGAGAGCCTGCTTCTCCCTCTGCCTGCCACTCCCCCTGCTCATGCTCTCTCTTTCTCTCTGACAAATAAATAAATAAAACCTTAAAAAAAAAAAAAACAGTATGGTACTAGCATAAAATAGACATACAGACTAGTGGAATAGAATAGAGAGCCTAGAATTAAAACCCTGCATATACAGTCAACTAATATTCAACAAGGGAGCCAAGAACATCCAACAGGCAAAGGCTAGTCTCTTCAACAAATAGTGCTGGCAAAACCAGATAAACACATGCTGAACAATAAAATTGGACCCCACCTTATGCCACTCACAAAAATTAATTCAAAATGGATCAAAGACTTAAACATCAGACATGATACCATAAAACTTCAGAAGAAAAGGTAAGGAAGAAGCTCCTCAATATGGATCTTGACAACAATTTTATGGATATGACACCAAAAGAAAAAAATCAGCAAATGGGACTACATCAAACTTAAAAGCTTCTGCACAGGAAAAGAAACAATTAGCAAAATGAAAAGGAAATCCACAGAATGGGAAAAAATTTTTGCAAACCATAAATTGGATAAGAGGTTAAGCTACAAAATATATAAAGAACACACACAACTCAGTAACAAAAAGAAAAACAAACAATATGATTCCAAATTAGGCAGAAGAATTAAGTAAACATTTTTCCAAAGAAGATTTCCAAATGGCCAATAGATACATGAAAAGATGCCCAATATCAGTAATCGTCAGAGAATGCAAATCAAAACCACAGTGGGATATCACCTTCTATCTGTTAGAATGGGAATCATCAAGAAGACAAGAGATAAGTGTTGGTGAAGATGTACAGAAAAGAGGACACTTGTACACTGTTGGTGGGAATGTAAATTGGTCCAACCACTATGGAAAACAATATGGAGGTCCCTCAAAAAATTAAACTAGAACTACCCTATGACCCAGCAATTCCATTTCCTGATATAAAACCAAAGAAAATGAAAACAGACTATCAAAGAGGAATACACACTCCTATGTTTACTGAAGCATTAAGTACAACAGCCAAGATATGGAAACAACCTTAGTGCCCCTTGACAGATGAATGGATAAGGAAGATGTGGTATGTGTATAATGAAGTATTACTGAGCCATAACAAAGAAGGACAACCTGCCATTTGCAACAACATGGAAAGATTGAGCACATTATGCTAAGTGAAATAAGTGAGACAGAGAAAGACAAGTACAGTACAAGATCACTTATATGTGCAATCTAAACAAGCCAAATTTGCAAGAATGGAGAGTCAAATGGTCATCAGGGGATAGGACAGATGCTGTTTAAGAGTACAAACTTGTAATGAGTGGTAAATAAAACCTAGAGATCTATGCACAATATAGTGAATATAGATAACAATATTCTAATTATCAAACTTGCTAAGAAACTACAACTTAATTATTCCAGCCACTAAAAAAGGATAATCATATAACATGATAGAGGTGCTAATTATCGCTACATTGGCAATCATACTGCCATGTACATATGTATCCCATGAACATGTTGTACACCTTACATTTACACAATGTGTCGAATATATTTCAATTTTTTAATTTAAAATTTTTTAATTAAAAGTTCAAAATTTTTCTTTTTTTTAAGATTTTTTATTTATTTATTTGAGAGAGAGAGCACAAGCAGGGGGAGCAGCAGAGGGAGAGGGAGAAGCAGGCTCCACGTTGAGCAGGGAGCCCAATGTGGGGCTCGATCCCAGGACCTTGAGATCATGACCTGAGCCGAAGGCAGATGCTTAACAGACTGAGCCACCCAGGCGCCCCAAAAGTTCAAAATTTTTCTTAAATAGGATGGATTTGGTTCTTTTCTGGTCCCCAAGTTATTCCTGTATATGGAGCACAACATCACTATTTTCCCTAATGCAGTACTTGAAATGTGAATGTCCTGGAGAGCAAAAATTTACCTCTTGGCAATAATTCAATTGGACTAGATACTTAATTAGAATTTCTTCCAGAATGCATAGGTCCCTTGCTATTAGAAAATACTTTCTAACTAAAGTCTGTACTTCCCATCGAAGAGAATGATAGCCAATAATTTCCACAGATACCACAGTCATATTTGTTTTCTTTCAAGAACCATAGTTTCAACTGAGCACATTCTTATAAGTATTGTCATGATTGGTAGACACTAGGAAACACAGGTGTAACACAACTCATCCTATAATTAAGTTCAGCATAAGGGGAATGGATCTTAGAGCTCAGGCAAAGTGGTCTGGTTCCTGTGACCTAATGATTCTATCATAAAGCAGTTTTACCTAAAAGGCGTAAGACTGGCTCTGCTGTGAGACTTATCAGGAAATGGCTCAACTTGGGTGGCTCAGTCAGTTAAAGTGTCTGCCTTCAGCTCGGTTGGTTAAGCCTCTGCCTTCAGCTCAGGTCATGATCCTGGGGTCCTGGGATCTAGCCCTGCATCCAGCTCCTTGCTCAGCAGGGAGCCTGTTTCTCGCTCTCCCTCTGCCTGCCACTCCCTCTCCTAGTGTGCTCTCTCTCTCCCTCTCTCTCTTTCTGTCAAGTAAACAAATAAATAAAATCTGGGGGAAAAAAAAGGAAATGGCTCATCTCCACAATTCCCTAAGCAGTGTCCTCACTCACTCACCATGGGTCCTGGCTTTCACCACTTCTCGTGGACTAGGAATCCTACCTCGTCTGAGATGACCTTGTGTTTCTTGAAAGGAGCTCAGCTGGCCAGATAGATCCCCATACTTCTTCTGAATCCTTATCCAATTCCTGATTTCCATTCTAAGTAGGAAACAAGAATTGTTCACTTTTGTTAGTGAAAGAAATCAGGCTACTTGCTGATCTTCTTGTTTCAGAAGTCCAAAAAAGCATGCTGGACTTGAACACACAAGTCCAACCCTGGAAATAAAATCCCAAACCCAAGAATTGCTCAGAACCATTTGTTTTTAACTTGCTTTTAATTAAGTTCTGTCCAAATTTAGGGAAGCAGATCAGTGTAGCTATTGTAGTCCAGGACTCCCTGATGGTCTGATCTGACAGGCATCCATCCTGTTTGGGGAGAGCAGTTCATCCTGGATTGCTGGGGACTTTGCTAGACTTCCCAACCACTGAAAGTCCCACATTCCCCAAACTCCCTCAGCCCTGGGAAAACTGGCATAGTCACATCATTTTAACAGCCAACAGTCCAGAATCTTCTGGAAACTTTCTTAAGATCTAACAAATCTTATTTAGAGCAATCACCTGTTAGTATCTTTCCTATGAGTTCTCAGCAAATTTCTAAGTGATGGGGATCAACAGGTATATTCATTTCCTAGGGCTGCCATAGCAAATGACCACAGATTGGGTGGCTTAAAGCAAACAGAAATGTACTCTCTCATAGTTCTGGAGGCCAGAGTTTGAAATGAAGGTGTCAGTAGGGTCACTTCCTTTCCAAAGACTCTAGGGTATAATTCCTTGTCTCTTCTGCCTTCTGGTATGGCCAGCAATCCTTGACGTCCCCGGGCACACAGCAGCATAACTCCAGTGGCTGCATCTGTCTGCACAGGGCCATCTTCTTGGTGTGGCTATGTCTTCCTGTGTCTCTCCTCGCCTCATAAAGACATCAGTCATGTTGGATTTCGGGCCCATGCTGATCCAGTAAGACCTCATTCTAACTGATTACACCAGTAAAGACCCTATTTCCAAATAAGATCACATTCACAAATACCAGGGATTAGGACTTCAGCATATCTCTTTAAGGAACACAATTTAACCCATAAGAGTGGGTCAAACCCGCCTTCATGATTCCAGTGATTCTCAACTCTGAACACACATGAGAATCATGGGGGGGGGGTTAAAAAAGAAAAAAGAGGGCACCTGGGTGGCTCAGTTTGGTAAGCATCTGACTCTTGATTTCAGCTCAGGTCATGATCTTAGGGTCGTGAGATCGAACCCCATGCTGAGCTATGCAATGGGCATGGAGCCTGCTTAAGATTTTCTTTCTCCCCTTCTCCCTCTGCCCTTTCCCACCCCACCTCTCGAAGAAGAAGAAGAAGAAGAAGAAGAAGAAGAAGAAGAAGAAGAAGAAGAAGAAGAAGAAGAAGAAGAAGAAGAAGAAGAAGAAGAAGAAGGAGGAGGAGGAAGAGGAAGAGAAGAAAAGAGGAAAGAAAACAATGCCCTTTCCATTCTCTCCACCACAGTAAATTAAATTCAAATATCTGGAGGAAGCCTGGGCATCCCCAGGTCATTCCCATATGTGGCCTGTGGCAGTGGCCCTTCACACCTTTAGGGAATGGTATATGTGGCTAAACACAAGAACTACTCAAAATGACTTTAGCTATGATTTCTTTTCTCCAAAATATGGCCCCTCCAAACCAGCCTAATTTCAAGAGGTAACTCAAACTTGTGGTTCTCTCCATAGATTTTGAATTGACAGTAAAAATGCATATTTTAATAACAGTGAGAAAGCTCTCAACAATTTATTTCACCCAAAAGAAACAGTATCCGGCAATTCAATCTCTAAAGTCAACATTTCTTTAATATAAAGTTAATTTTGATATATATTTGACTGTTTTTACTGACCTGAAACTTGTCTTACAGCCAAAGATTTTCATGCTGTTCATTCCAGGAATACTAATAAATATTCCAAACTGGAGAAAACTGTGACCTTTTCAAGATGAGTATCAACTAAGAATATGAAATTTTTCACAAAGTATTTGGAGGGAAAAAATTCTTGGTTCAGATACATGGGCTTTTTTCTCCCATGCTTTCTCATTGCTCTGTGTTTCTCTCTCAGCTTAACCTGGAGTTAGTAAGAGATTTCTTGCTATTTGCCTCCCCACTCTCAACATCAGGTTTCGCTCTTTTTTTAATTTATATTTTTCCAGAAACAGCATTTTCTGAGGAATATTCATGCTGAGACAACCAGCAGTGGGCCTCTGAGATCCTACCGCACACTAGATGAGCCAAGTGGATCACACTGGAAAGAACCGAGGTGGTCCTTAGAGCAAGGCAGAGAGCTCCTCTGTCCCCTGCTAACCTTCCTGCCTCCCCTGGGGCTCTGAGCATCCTCATGCCCACAGCGCATTCATCATACGGCACTTTTCTTTCCTGCCAGGTCTGTAAGGGGAAAGATTCACTTCTCCTTCCCAAGGTGTCAACCTTCATTGTTATTGATGCCCACAAGCCTGCAATTACTTGATAAAGCTAATGGGTAGAAGCACTTAAAGGGCTACGCTTTCTGGTTCCATTGTCATCTCCACGTAAAACAAACCAGATCCAACACAGACTGACAGGCTTTCAGCCTATTATTATTTGGGGCTTATTTAAATCGCGGGTTTGATTAAGTTTCTAATTTAGCCATTGCACTTAGCACGTACTCCTTTTCTTTAAAACTCCGAGAGAGACATTTACAAAATTCCTATCTCTGAGCTGTCAGAGGAGAAAAATGTCAAGTGGCCTGGGTGGCCAGAGGGAGGGGTTGAAAGTATACTTAGAAGAGTAAACTTAAATACAAATGGAATTTCCCAACTACTTTTTACGGCTTTGTCAACAGATACAATGTAGGTATTCATCCTTGTTTTAACTCCCCTATTAATCCCGCCATAGCACTGGAAAAAGAGTGGGGTGAAAAGCAGTCTCCCTATCACCCCTCCTCCCTTTCTTATCCTGGCCAGATCAGATAACCCTTAACAAAGCATGAAGCTATTACATTAAATTTTAATGTTTCGGTCCAGGAGCAAGAATGCCACTTCAGATGTCCTCCTTTGAAAAGAGTAGTTATCACCCGAGAGGTCAGCAACATCCCTCTGAGACAGGTTAGTTTTGTTTTAGACCGCTCGACATGGGCACTGTGTTAGCATGAGCACTAACTAACGTCACACTTAGACAAATATTTTATTGCTGCAAACATGAAAGCAGCTTGCAAGAAAATTAAATCTAACATACATGGGGTATGTCGTGAATCTGTTTATTCATCTATTCAAATGATAGTTACGGAGCAATGACCCAGGGCCAAACTCTGTACTGAGTACTAGGAATGCAGAGACAGTCTCAGGGATGAGCTGGGATGATGGGCATGCAACCAGTAAGTTACAAGACGCTCTGAGAAGTTCTGCAAGAAAACTGGTGTCATTGCCCCAGCACGCCACCTACACAGTGTAGGGGTGACCTCACATATGACCCTAGCGTATAATACAGAAAAATTAACCAGGCAGAGCAAAACTGGCTGCCTGGGCGAGTATCACTCCTTACTGAAACCAGACTTGGCGAAGGGCTCAGGAAGACCACGGGGAGGGGAGAGCATGGACAGGGCACAGATTTAGGACAAGGGGCACACAGAGTCGTTGGCAAAACTCTCTGCCACTTCTCGGTTATGCCTGGGAAGACAGGCCCACCTTTAGAAGCAGACTGCTCCCCAACACAGAGACTCAGTTAAAAGAGACCAGGCCAGGGGGCGCCTGGGTGACTCAGTCGGTTAAGTGGTTAAGCGTCTACCTTCAGTTCGGGTCATGGGGGAGCTTCATGCTCCCTGCTCAGCGGGGAGTCTGCTTCTCTCTCCCTCTGCCCCTCCCCACCCCTCGTACTCTCTCTCTCTCTCTTTCTCAAATAAATAAATAAAATCTTTCTAAATATTTTAAAATAAAATAAAATAAACCAGACTACATGAATCTCCTGGTTGGGGTGCGGGGGCGGGGGAGACTCCAGTCAAACACTGCATGCAAATCAAGCTAGAATCTGGCATAATTTCCTCAAAACATGTGGCCAGAGGAGAACAAATGCAACTGTCCCCATGTCATTTGGGACTGATTGTTCCATGACTCTAACTCTCCAGACTCCCACTTCAGTAGGGAGAGTGCTTGGACATCAGCAGCAGAAAAGCCAACTTTTTGGAGGCTCAAAGGGATTTATTTGCCTTCCGTTACAGGGAGTCCAGGTAGGCAGTCCAGGGTGGATGCAGCACCTCCACAATGCTGAAGGGAATGCTGGATCTTTCTGTGTTCTAAGCTTCTTGACTTTCATCTTCATGCCTATCCCTTCGTGGTTGCCAGCAAGAGGCTCCCCACCCATCCCTGGCCTCGAGTTCACATTCAAGATGAGAAGTAGTCCACAGAGATGAGAGAGAATAAAGCAGTGTCTCAAAAACAAGCAGAGACCAAAGGGGATGTCCTCAGCACAGACACTCAGCATCCCAGACTCCCAAATATTCAGCAACTAAATTCCTAGCCACACTTCCCTGACAACACCCAGTATCCCACAATAAATGTGTTTCCTTCTCTTTTGTCTTGTTTATACTAGATCAAGCTCATTTCTCTTACTTGCAAAATTGAAAAAGTCCAGTCTAATGCATTTATGAGGACAGGTTCACCTGTTAAAGCAGAGATACCTCAGAGGTTACATGCCTTTCAACTTCATGTTGGAGGCCCATTGCCAAGTATTTATACGTAAATCTACGTACTGATGGCTTACACAGTAATACCAGGAATGGCAACAGCTATTTATTGAGCACATGCTGCACTGCAGGCTCTGTTTGGGGCATTTTACATTCATTCTTGTCATCCTCACTCAGTCCTGACAAGTAAATGGTCCTAGTACATAAAGACATTGACCATCAGAGAAGTAACTTTCCTGAGACTGTACAGCTAGTAATGATCCAGAACTGGACCAGTCTGACTCCAGAGCTCAGTCTACTCTCCTAAGTTTCTTTCCAGGTGTGATCTGAGAGCCATCTGTATTAAATTCACATGGGGTATTGCTAAAATTTCCAGTTCCTGAGTCCTTTCTCAGACAGACTGAATTAGACTCTCTGGGGTTGCGACTAAAGGTTACAGGTCAGGAATTTGCAGTTTAAACAAGTTGCTTGGGTAATTCTTCCCCAGGCTGTTGGTTGGAAACCTCAGGAGCTTCCTGGGTGAAATCTGAAACTAGCCCATGTCCACAGAAGGTAAAGCCGGGCAGGTGGAAGGGGGGCGGGTGTTAATGAGCAAGGGAACTTACTAACGAGGCTTGTCTTGGCAGCTGCAAGATGAGTGGATCTCTGCACCTGTCCACCAGAATCATGAGAGTTTATACCAAGTCCTTAATGAGGCTCAGGGACATGTACCATCCAGATGGTTTCGATACCACCTTACTCTCTCAAGGTTGTGTCCTTGAAATGGCTCCAGCTGTGAGAATGGTAGGTGGAACGAACAACCCAAGGACAGGGGAGAGGGTGAGGAGCCGCCCATTGCCCAGGTCTGAGTCACAGGTCAACTAGAGGTCATGTCCTCTGATGACCTCCACCAACACATGCTAAAGCCTGAAAGGCACAGCCTCTCAGAGGCTCTTCTGGGGTTAGTGTCTGCCCGCATTTTTCACTGGTCAGTAGTATCATAAGGACAAATAAAAATTAAAAATAAGGAGCTTAATTCTCCCTGTGGAAATAATAGAGGAGACTTCTCCCACCTCCTTTTTCTTTATTTGCTTTAGAAAACTTAAAATTGTAAGTACTTTCTCTCTTTGAAATGTGCAAAATTGGGGCACCTGGGTGGCTCAGTCATTAAGCATCTGCCTTCTGGCTCAGGTCATGATCCCAGGATCCTGGGATCGAGCCCCGCATCGGGCTCCCTGCTTGGCAGGAAGCCTGCTTCTCCCTCTCCCACTCCCCCTGCTTGTGTTCCCTCTCTCGCTGTGTCTCTCTGTCAAATAAATAAATAAAATCTTTAAAAAAAAAAAAAAAAGAAATGTGCAAAATCCTTTTGAAAACCAGATACGCCTCTTGTCAGCTTTGGGACTCAGGAATGTCTTCCTCCCAGACTTGGGAGCCATCTCTTTGAAAGGTAACTATCTAGGGAAATAGCACCCCATCCCCTAGTTTCTGTGGGAAGGTAGGAGCCTAACTTCCCTGGGTGCCTTGTTCCAGTTTTCAAAACTACTTCCTGTCATAAAGATAAGAGGTTTGTTTTCTACGGAATAAAGCCAAAAGCTAACACAGATGATCACCCCAATCACCTGGTAAAGTTAGGAGGAACTATGTGTGACAGATGGCACCATCAGGTCCTCCTACTTGAGGACTAGTTATTGTTCATCTTGAAACATGTATATGTTGGGTTGTATCTGCTTAGCCAAATCAAGGAGTTAGATTCCTTTCTGTCTCCGAAGTCTCTTAACAACCACCAGTGATGTGTATCACATTCTAAGTCAATGCTTATTTGCTAATAAAACTCTTTCCTTTCTCTACTAGTTTTGTGGAGAGGATTTCTGGGTTGGGAGATAATTTGGTTTTTAATTTTATTTCCCCAACAGTAGCAACGTTCCTACTTTGCAAGATGAACTTTGAAAAGAAAAATTTTTTAATTCCTCCTAAATCAGCTTGGTAGAAAAGACCCCTGAGAAAATGGTATTATTCACGGCCACATTAGGCAGAGCGATAACAAGCTAAAGCAGAAGAGGCGCGTATCACAGGCCTCACCTCGCTTTTGCCGCATGTCCGCCTTCCATTGTAGAGAAATCCTCCCCCAAAGAGCCGCCTCAATGTCTTCATCTGTGAACTGGGATGCCGTAACAACAAAACCACACGGCAGCTAAAGACACTTCCGCACAGAAGCTTCCTGAGAAAGTGATTATCCACAAAAAGGTCAAGTTAAAATGATTCTGGAAACCACACTTGCAAAAGCTCATTTCAGGAAATAACATACAATAGAAATGAGATAATCCAGTCTAGAAAGGTTAAAACTCACAATTTCCACCCACAACATCCTCTCCCGCAAAGCCCCCGGGGCAGACTTTCCCGTGAAACCTGAAGAGGCCTGCCCTCCCGGCGTCAGCTCAGAGGGCAGGTCAGGGCTGGTAAACCCACCCCACAGGGGACTGAAGGCAGGCTGAATCACAAGACACAAAGGTTCCCCGGGGCAAAGAAGTCAGTTCCCTTGGGGATGGAAATGCTTATTTCTTCTGGAATTACAGAAAGATTTCTTCCTTCTGCCATTTTAGGGTTTTCATCTGCCAGGCAGATAAAGGAAAAGTTAGCTGAAGGAACCGAAAGACAGGAATGCCAAGAAGAAACTGGGGGTTTTTTTGTTTGGGATTTCATTTTTGTTGTTTTTTTATCGTTTAGTCATTTTGTTTCAATTATTTCCCTCACATTAAATGAAAAACTCTTTTTTTTTTTAAAGATTTTATTTATTTATTAGAGAGAGAATGAGAGACAGAGAGCACGAGAGGGAAGAGGGCAGAGGGAGAAGGAGACCCCCCGCCGAGCAGGGAGCCCGATGCGGGACTCGATCCAGGGACTCCAGGATCATGACCTGGGCTGAAGGCAGTTGCTCAACCAACTGAGCCACCCAGGCACCCTAAATGAAAAACTCTTAAACCTGAAAGCATATGAGGAAGGAAGGAAGGAAGGAAACAGCACCAACTTCATTTTTCATTTAAAATTACCTGTAGCCAAAGCAATGCATGAATTCCATGTTTCTTAATGCTTTCTATTAAATGTATAAAAGACATAACAGTAATCAAAAACTTCTTTCTAGAAATCCTGAGTTTGCATTTTCACTCACTGGCGAATCAGGTAAAGCATAAATGCTGAAGGAAAACTTCCTCTATGATGTTAAACTTGGGAACGGATGGCTTGCCTGGGGAATTCTCCCAAATCCTTCCCTCATTTCTAATTTAACTGTAGGGTCTGGGTCTTTGTCACTGAGTATAAGGCTGACAGCTCACCTTAGATTTCAATTTAGATGAATGTGCTTCTGTCCTGAGAAGTGTCCAGCTCCAGCCTCATGTACTGTTCCTTCACACTCTAAAGAGAGCAGCAAAATCAAACTGTCCATCCCCCTCTCAGGACGTCAATAATGGGGCCACTTGGACGTTTGGAATCTAATTGCAAACTTCAGTCAGACGCCAATAAAATTCTTTATCCACTAGATAGAGAAATAAAGGACTTGTTACATACAACTCCTTTGGCTGAGTTCACTATGGCTGCCCCCATTACCTGGAGTGAGAAATTACACATGAGAGGGGTCAAGATTAGCAATCCTGCCTGGGTCGTGAGAAGGCTTTTCTTCATACCGAATGCACGGCCCACCTCCATTCCAGGAAGGTAATGCAAACACTAAGTCGAGTTAAACCGCCGACTGTCACGCATCAGCCCTTGTGTACACTTAATGCAAGTGTGGTCCCGGTGAAGGGATGGCTGCTTGGAAGGGCATGGGGACAAACTGTCTTCAGTATTCCCTATTGATCCTACCCCCACCTCCCCGCGACTACCTCCAGGACCCACTCCCCAAAACAGGTCTCCAAACCAACTGGTTATTGATGTGGTGTGGAGGGCATTCCAGGACAAGACACAGGACGTAAGACAAGCTGAAATAACAAGCCCATGTGTAGACACTCTAGTTATCTGCCACCAATGATAAAAAACTTTCCTCTCTGCTGGGTAGAGCTGTGATACTAACTTTAAATTCTTTCATCATGCATTATCTCTGGATCTCTAATGTTCAGGGCTTGGAGATTTGTTTTGCTTTCCATTTGAAATACAAAGAGGCTCTGTTGGCTGAAAGAGTCATCTACTACTGACATCCCATTTTCCCTTCTATTATCAGCCTCAAAAGGTGTGCATGGGTGTGACAAGCAGAAAAACAGCCATCAGAAGGTTTGGGAACCAAGCTCAGAGGGAGGTTGGGGAATGAAGGAGGCCAACTGGTCTCCATGTGGGAGTGAACTGGAGGAGGTGGTACCCCTGAAAAGACATGAACTACAGCATGAGAACATTCTCCCCACTTACAAGGTGGGCGTTCGTGGTTCCTGCTGTGCTCTGAATCACAGTAAGAATGATGTTGAGACAGCAGTCCTCTTAAGTGCTGTCTAATAGCCAGCTCCATGTGGCTCCCGATGGCAAAATGAGGGGGAAAACGGACTAGGGGGCACACTCGATTAGCTGCCTAAACAATATCTATTCCTCCTTCTTGCTAATAAAATTTTAGTTTTGATTGAGATGAAAATACATCCCATCTCAGGGAATGAATTTTGACTGGTGTAGATCCATCCTGACCACCCCCACTGCCCACTTAACCAGACATTCGTGCAGTAAAGCCATGTGACCCAGTCTTTGTCATGACCTGCCAAGGGAAGTCAGGCAGAAGCCTTGGAGAGAAGCTTTACTTTCCTAATACAAGAGAAAGATCTGTTTGGCACTATGTTTTTCTTCTCCTTTTTCTTCCTGCCTTGAACACAGATGTGATGTCAGGAGCTGGGACATCTTGCTACCATGGGAAAAAAAAAAGGCCTAAGAGAATCAGAGATGCCAGTGCAACAAGGAGTAACTTAGCATGTCTGACTCAATATTGCTTTTATTTCCCTTGCTGCTGTGACCTGTAATTTAGGAACTTCTGCTTAGCCCCGCACATAAGCATATTACAGCTAAGATTTGCAAAAACTGCTTTTTACCCAAAATCTACCTCATACGAGGAGATAAGGAAATACGTACAGAAATAACTATGCTACATTTAAGATTTACAGGAACAACATGACCAGATTCCTGTATGCAAAGATCAACTGACCAAGGACAAAGAAGTTATATGACCTTCCTTGGATGTCTACAGATGTCAGTCACCTTTTGACTCCAACCCCTTCCCGCTTCCCCTCTTCCTAACATAAAATAGAAGGTCAAATCTTATGCTGGTGAAGCAGAATAACGAGGTTGTCTCACAGAGTCAAGGAATGAATCTCACAGACAAAGGAGAGTGAGTAAAGTGATAAGAGTTTTACTAAGTGAGGATACAGAGAAAGCTCTCAGGGGTGAGAGAGTCCCGCCAGGGCTGCAGCTTTTAGGGTTGGTCTTTTATTGAAGGCTAACCAAGGAACTGAAATCCTTTTAACATCTCTCCTGATAGCACCACTGAGTAAGGACTAGTGATACACCTTTAATGGCTTACTTCCTTTTTAGGTTCTGGTAATTCTTTGTTGGTCACAAGTGACAGGTTATAACAAGACCTCACCTCTGACACCTAAGGCAGGGTGGTCTAGTTTGTTCCCTTATCTCTGGTTTCCTTACATCTCTGCATGTGGGGGATTTCTGTGAGCCTGAGCCCATAGCCCCCTATCTATCTCTCTCTACCTAGCCCCACCTATCCCTTACTCACTGGGAGAGATGGTTCTTTGGGACTGGGCTTTCCAAATAAAGTCTCCTTCCTTACTCCAGCATCTTGCCTTTCAACTTATTGGGCTGTCCTGTGACCAGCAGAATGAGCTTGGACTCAGTTATACCAGGTCTAATATCACTGAGCCACTGAACTAATAATGCCAGCTTATTACATGAGAAAAATAAGCCTGTAGTTGGGGTTTCTGTTGTTCACAGTAGAAATCAGACCTGTGTTAACTCAAATACATGCTTACCTTCTATTGCTTTGATAGAAGAATTTAGAATGAGGAGGTTTCTCTTGAACAACAATAGTGCTTAAAATGTCTTTGTGTTTATTTGGGATTCCCTTTATCATCCATTATTCATTCAGCTTCACCATTCATATGTACATCAAGTCCCTCAAACTCTGTCCTGGTGAAGGACCAGCCCATACAGAGATGACAACAGTGCTTCACACTCACTGCTCAGAACTGTCTTAGTCAAGACAAAGAAAATCGGCTTGGTTCATCTGCCTAGGTCTGCTCTTGGCACACAGACAGGAAAGGTTTTCACAGCCAGTTAACACCATGCTGTGGTGAGAGGTTCAGATACAAAAAGGAAAAATTACTCCCAGTAAAAATAAATATTCAAAGACCTGCCCATAAGAAGTTGGATCTTGAAATCATGGTGTCACCAGGAGAAAGTCTGTGCAGGAGTATTCTCTCATAGAGGGAAGAAAACTTTGCCTAACTGAGTGAAAGGCTGATCTCTTCCAACAATGGACCAACTCCAGGAAAGAAATTCAGACACCCAGGACCCAGTGATCATCTATAGGCAAACAAATTGTTCACCTGATTACAGATGATTTTGCATCAACCATAGATGACTATCAACCGTCAAGCGGCCACACAAACTCGGGGTCTAACAGAGGTACCAGAAGAGTGAAGCACTGTGTGCTCTGAAAAACACTGCTAGCATATAATAAGTGCTCAGCAGATAATTTGTTTCATGAATGAACATCTTCTGACTTTGAAGGAAAAGAAGACCCCTAGTATCTGCAAAGCCATCCTGGCCATATTCAGGCATATGCAGAAGAAACATATGAAACATATGAGCATGGGGAAATGACCGTTCACACAGACCACGGTGGGATGTCGGGGTTTCTGATGAACACCCCAGCGGAGGGCTGAAGGGAAGCCCACCTGCTTTATACATCCAAGTCTCTGGGGCCAAATGGCTTACATGCAGCTTTCTTAGAGAACTGCCTTCTGGGAGCACCAAACCACTGCCAGTCATCTTCAGATGCCTCATAAGATCTGAGTGGATAAAATCATTCATATTAAAAAAGAAAGTGTTCTTTTAAAAATAATTCATATTTATATTCATAAAAAGAGAGAAAGAGATTGTGAATCCTCCAGATTTGATGGGTGAGCTTGACAGGTGAGATAAGAAGTAAGATTCTGTCACTGGGGAAGCTGACAGCAACAAAGTGCGCTAATATTTATTGAGTGTTTACTGTGAGTGCACAGTACTCTGTGCTTCACAGAGACTAGTTCACTCAAGCGTCAAAATGACACTGCGTGGCAATTACTTTTATTTTTCCTTATTGTACAATTCAGGAAATGGAGACTTAGCAAGGTTAAGGACTTTCTTAAGATCACACAATTAGTTATGAAGGGGTGGGATCTAGTTTGAACACAGACAGTCTAATTCCAGAGCCCACTCTACAAGCCTGAAAATTATCCCTATTTTCCTACTAAATGCTTGGGCTTATCTAAGGCTTCCTGCAGGTTAATGTCTAGTTGGGCAACCTGGCCAGAGAGTGCCACCGGGCTGTGCTCTGTGTGCAGGACAGAGAAGGAACCTCATTAACCACCCAAGAGACCATCTAACGAGAGGGCTGCTCAGGGCACCATTGCTCTTTCTCCCTCTCTATTCTTCCTTTCTCCCCAGTCTGCACCATGTACCTTCTAATACTGCTGTCTAAGGAAGCACATTCATTCTACCACTTGTGCTTTCCTAGTTGTTTAGATTCATCAGGAACTCTTCTGTGGCTTCCTTTCACGAAGTTATTACATACCTAGACAACAGGTCAGTCACAGCCGAAATGATCTTGTTTGCCATTTGTTGCCTTGTTTTTGTCTCTTCCCAATGGAATGTTAAATTCTGTGACAGCAAGGATCATTTCTGTCCTGGCCTAACACAGTGCTTGACACACAATTGCTGCTTAATATGTATTTGATGGATGAATGAATGAATGAACGAATGAACGAATGAACAAAGGAATCACAGAAGACAGAGAAGGTGTATATTATGTCCACCAATTCAGGGTCGCACACATAGTGGAAATTTTTTCTTCTTTATCATTGTAATCATCGTTAAAAGAGTTGTAGATTAAGTTGCCTATTAAGTGCCAACACTATTGGACATTTGATAAACGTGATCTTGTTTAATCCTCAGAAGCCACACCACAGACCATTCATTCCTGCCTTACAGATGAGGAAACAGAAGCTTGGAGAAGGTAAGTTATTTGCCAAAGTTTTCCAATTGCCCTTGGGATGGGGTTTAAATTTCCTAATAAGTTTATAAGTCCAACCTCATCTTTTTTCTTGGCTCAGTCTCCAATCTGACACTGCATTCTCTATCAGTTAGAAAAGTGCTTTTAGTAGCTTAAACAGAATTTCTTGTTTTTCCCCTAAGAAGTAGTTGAGAAATTCAGGGCCACTACAATGGCTTCATGACGTCAGCACGAACCCAAGGTCCTTCTATTTTTCCTCTCCACACTGTTCTGGTACACTGTGTTGCTCATGGCC